ACAAAATATTATACAAAATATTATACAAAATATTATACAAAATATTATACAAAATATTATACAAAATATTATACAAATTATTATACAAAATATTATACAAAATATTATACAAAATATTATACAAATTATTATACAAATTATTATACAAATTATTATACAAATTATAACAAAGGTGAAGAACATACTCGCCTCAATTAAATGCACCATCGTAAATCAAGTTCTTGTGTTCTTTATTCAGCAAAGCATTGTTAACTTTCGATGGTTCTACTCGGAATCAATACACCGACATACCGATACACCATGGATTAATCTTGTCTTTTAATGGAAAAATTAATTCTATTCGAATGTACAAAAAAAAAGTATGTACGTACGTATCGATGTAGTCTTTTTTTTTCATGTTCTTACAAGTTATTTCTTTTTTAAATGTTTAACGTAAGACCAGGGAAAAATACACTTTTTATTAACATTGTACACCAAACTGCGTAAGGGGATCGACAAGATAGCTTGTATATAGTTTGTATATAGTTTGTATATAGTTTGTATATAGTTTGTATACAGTTTGTATATAGTTTGTATACAGTTTGTATATGTAACAAATATACATCCAACCCTCATTGGTAGTATAATGGAACTTAGTCGTTTCACTAAATGCGATTAAGGATACTATTTAAATGAACATTGCAAATTGTTAAAAATGAATCAAACAAATGTCATTAGAACGCTTTATAGAACGCATCATCTTTTTTTTTTTTTTGTTTAAGTTTGTGCAGCAATCTATGTCCATCGACTTCCAAAGATTGAAACCACGAAAACATTCCATAAGAATGTAATTCTCGATTGGTATGCGTTACAGAACTATGTACGTAGCCAGTTATACACGGGTTATATCCGAGGAATATCCGAGGTCGTAATCGTTATTAGTGTAATTCTGATAATTGATAATGATAATGGATAAATGATAATACGTAATATACAGTATATATTACATATATATACTATAGTAATTGTGAACATATTCAATGTCATGAGTTATGCACACAAATTTAAACCTAAAATTTTTTTTCGTTAATATTTTTACTAATATTGGCTTTTCATTTCTTTTGTAATGTTATATCTCGTTTTCAGGTGAATTTGTTTCCCATGAACAAAATAGCACAAATAGCAATAATACTTAATTGATATGTCATATGATTGTATTTTGTGAATGCGTTATAACATTATATAATAATTGTATCATAATTATATTAGAGTTAATTAATTATATACATACCGATACATAGTTAATTAATTGGTACACATGTATGTATATAAATTAAATTAAAAATTTGCATTATACCGATACGAGGCGATTCATAAAATTTGTGTATGGTTGCGATAGTTTTCATTAATTTACTAAATATTTGTAGA